TGCTCAGGTTACTGCTGCTAATGGTCACTGGCATTGAATTTTAGGTGTTAAACCAGAGGTGTCTTCCACCAAGTGTCACAATTTTAAGACTATTTGGTCCAGCAAATCCTGATGAAGTCTTAATGTATCATCAGGGCCTGGTGCCTCGATATTTCTTTTTCATTCTAAATACATACAGTTCATTTTCTTAATTTTTTGCATGTACCCAGTGGTATCTTAGGAGTATATGAGACCAATATTAAAGATTCTCTAGAAATATAAAATCATTTCTGGTTTTATTTTGGTAATTATATTACAGTGTGTATTGTTTATGTGGAGTAATGGCCTCTTCACACCTATATAGGCCTTTATATAAATAAATATTGTGTAAGGAGAAAAGTTGATTTTAAAATATTTGTTATAATGTTACAATTAACAGAATAGTTAGTCAAATTGCTAACCTAAAAACACAAATTATTCTTTTAATGTCAATAGTTTTTGTTTGCTAGAGCCAACTAATTTTTTTTAAAAAGTTTAAATCTTTTCCTTAAAATAAAAAAAAAATAAATATAAAAAATAGAATCAAAATCATTTGGTAGTACTGTTTTAAGCAATTATTGTTTTCCTTTCTGTTATGAGCAGTCATTGTGTTTTTCACTTTATTCCTCTGTTAACTGAACATTGTCTAAACACTGCTATCCCCTTCTTCACTTGATAATTTCCAAAATATTCTCTCAGAAAAAGAAAAGTCAGGATTCAGTAACAGGCTGTCTCAAAGCAGTTATCTGCTCAACAATGCAACTAGCATGACAGTTGAACGATACACTGGAGAGAGTGCTATATCAAAACTCTTAAAATCTGGTTCCACTCATCAATAAGCCTAACAAATTTGGCCTCAGTTTCTTTATTTTTAAAATAAAAATAGTTTTGTATTGTCTCAAATGCCCTACATTTATAAAATACTAAGTATTTTTTAAAAAACTGGTTCATCAGTGTTTGCAACCTTAAACACAAATCATTAGCAAGTTAAATTAAATAGATGTGGATGCAATATAGCAAAATCTAAAAATCGGTTAAAGAAAGAATTGAATTCCACCATTCAATATTCGTAATCAGCTACATTTACTGTTTTGGCAATCATTTAAACTTGTTTGTCTGGTAATTATTAGAGTACTTTTTAAATAAATTTGACAAAGTCACATAACATTTATTTTTAGATGTTAAAATGCAATTTTAGTTGTGTTGTAAATACAGTTAGAGTTTTCCAAGAGCTTAATTAGTTCTAGTCGTTTGTCATTTTGAAAACCAAATTAAATATTTGAATCTCCTACAACTTACTTTCTATCATTAAAAAGGGTCTGAAAGAATCACCAAAACTTCCAGAATAACCTAACTGGCACCAATGAGAACCTCTAAATTTTGTTGTTTTTAGGAATTCTGTATTAAAATATATTAAGTAAAATTATATTAAGTGCTATTTGTAGTAAATATAATCTGTTTGCATTTTAGTTTCATATTTATAAATACTATTCTTTATTTTTAAAATGTAAAAAATACTGCAATCTTTGTCAAACTGCAATACTCATTAGGTGTCTCCCATCACACTATGAGACAGAACAAATTATTGATGAACTCTAATCTAAAGTATTTTTAAGGAAATTAGGTAAACTTTAAGCCATTCTCCAAAAATCTTTACTTAATCTGGAATCCCACAAACTTCCAAATACAAGTGGGAAAATAACTTTTGTTCATAAAGAATGTTCCAGACTTTTAGAAGGGTCTGCAGTTGATTCTGAGGGACTTAGAATTTACATATACAAAGGCCTTTGGTGTAGAATGGGCTGCCAGAGGCTGAAAACCAGGAACTAATTAAATAAATATATATGGCAATTGCATTTTCAACTTGGTATGGTATTACAAGTTATTACTATTTATATATTCATTGAAAAATAATTCAAAACTGTGATCCTCTTTAAATATTGGAAAGGAGTGCCCTCTGATCAATTTCCCCAGAAATACTCCTCAACACAATAAAGGTCATATATTGCAAGCCTGCAACTAACATTATCCTCAATGGTGAAAAGTTGAGAGCGTCTCTCTAAAATCAGGAACAAGACAAGAATGCTCACTCTCACCACTTCTATGTAACATAATACTAAAAGTCCTAGCCAGAGCAATTAGGCAAGAAAAAGAAAAAAAAGTCATCCAAACAGGAAAGGAAAAAGTAAAACTGTCTTTGTTTGCTGACCAAATGATCTTATACATAGAAAACCTTAAAATGTCTATGAAAGCAACCTAAAAGACTGTTAGAACGTTAAATGAATTCAGTAAAATTGAAATTTGCAGGTGATAAAATCAACATATTAAAATCAATAGCACTGCTATATACTAATGACAGAATATCTGAAGAAGATATTATGAAAACAGTCTCATTTACAATAGCAAAAAATAACATACTTAGGAATAAGTTGAGCCAAGGAAGTAAAAAATCTGTACACTGAAAAATCTAAAATATTGATGAAAAAATTAAAGCCTAAGCAATTAAATGGGAAGATATTTCATGTTCATGGATTGGAACATTTTAATGTTGATAAAATGTCCATACTACCCAAAGTGATTTACAGATTCAATGCAGTTCATATCAAAATTTTAATATTATTATTCACAGAAACAGAAAAAAAAATTAAATTTGTATGAAACCACAAAATTCTCTGAATATCCAAAGCAATCCTGAGCAAAAAGGAAAAAAGCTGGAAACATCACACTACCGGATTTTAAAGTGTATTACAAAGCTATAGTAATCAAAACAGCATGGCAATAGCATACAGACACATTTGTCAAAGTGACAGAATAGAAAGACCAGAAGTAAATTCATGCATTTATGGTCAATTGATTTTTGATAGTTACCAAGAATACACAATAGGGAAAAAATAATCTCTTCAATACATGGTTTTGGGAGAACTGAACATCCACAAGCAGAATTAAATTAGCCCCTTCTCTCACACAATATAGTAAAGATAACTCAAAATGGATTAAAGTCTACTTTAATTACAAAATGAAATATTAACAAAATAAAGAGACAACCCACATATTTAAAGAAAATATGTACAAACCATACATTTTTAATCCACATATTTAAAGAAAATATGTGCAAACCATACATTTGGTAAAGGGTTAATATATAAAATATAGAAGAAACTGAAACAACTTAATAACAAGAAAACAAACAGCCCAATGAAAAAAATGGGTAAAGGACCTGAACAGACATTTCTCAAAAGAAGGCATACTAATGGCCAAACAGATATATGAAAATGTGCTCAACATCACTAATCATAAGGGAAATGCAAAGTAAAACCACAACGACATATCACCTCACACCTGTTAGAATGGCTATTATCAAAAAGATGAAAGATAACAGATGTTGATGAGGATGTTCAGTAAAGGGAATCCTTTTACATTATTGATGTAATAACAGTATGGAGATTCCTCAAAAATTGAAAATAGAACTACCATATGATCTAACAATCTTACTTCTACATATATATCCCAAAAAAGTGAACTCAGTATGTTGAAGAGATAACTGAACTATGTTCATTGCATCATTATTCACAAGAGCCAAGATATGTAATAATCAACCTATGTGTCCGCTGACTGATGAATAAATAAAGTATGGTATATATACACAATGGAATACTATCCAGTCTTTAAAAAGAAGAAAGTTCTGTCATTTATAAAAACATGAATGGACATTGAGACATTATGCTAAATGAAATAAGCATTGTACAGAAAGATAAATACTGCATAATCTCACTTGCATGTGGAATCTATAAAAGCTGAACTTGTAGAACTAGATAGTAGAATGGTGTAAGGCTTGGGATGGAGTGTAAGGAAGATGGGGAAAAGAGGAGATGTCAGTCAAAGAGTGCAAAGTTTCAGTTAGACAGGAGGAATGAGTTCTAGTGATCTATTGCGCAGCATTGTGACTATGATAAAAAAAAGTATAATTCAAAAATGCTAATAGAGTAAATTTTAATTGTTCTTACAACCAAAAATTGATAAGGATGTGAAGTGATGGATATGTTAATAAGCTTGACTTACTCATTCCACAAGATACACATATATCCTAACATATCATTGTACCTCATAAATATATAAAATTATTGTCAATTTAAAAAATCTTTCCTACACTGAACTCATGCCAAAACTATGACTCTTCTTTTTCTCATCTTAAATTAACATATGTATAGGAGAAAACTAGTATTTGTCAGTCAAGATTTATTTTTGGCTGGGTGCAGTGGCTCACACCTGTAATCCCAGAACTTTGGGAGGCTGAGGTAGGCAGGTCACTTGAAGTCAGAAGTTGGAGACCAGAGACCAGGCTAGGCAACATGGCAAGACCCTGTCTCTACTAAAAAATAAAAAGAAAGAAAGAAAAAAAAAACCCTACAAAAATAGCCAGCATGGTGGTGCATGCCTGTGGTCCCACCTACTTGGGAGGCTGAGCTGGGAGGATCACTTGAGCCCCAGGGATGGAGGTTGCAGTAAGCCGAGATCGCAGCACTGCCACACTGCATTCCAGCCTGGGTTATAGAGTGAGACCAAAAAAAATTTTTTTTAAGATTCATTTTTGTTATACATTATAAGTAAGGCATAAAGAAATACAGTATCAGTATATTTTCTCCAACAGTATATTGTACTTCGCTGCTTCTGTTTAACAACTTGGAATATAAAGGCTGTTTGCAAGGCAGGAATAAATTTCTTGTCAATAAAAACTGCATTTAATAAAAAAAAATATGCAGTGCATGCATGCATATCTAGCAAAACAGAAAAAGAGAGAAACAATGTATTGATGAAATGAATTAATACTAAACATGTAAATTGCCCTTGCCTTTGGAACTGAGATTATAAATTTGTTTCATAGTCAACTGAGGTGTGATTAACATTTAGGTACAAGGGTTATTTAACATTTAAGCACAAAGATTTCTCCATGAGTTACTTTGGATTTATAGGATCACTCTTACCAGCATTTCTTTTGAAGCTGTGTCTTATGGAAGATGAGATGTTCAAGCACATTATTCAACTGAGGACTGTTATTCTGAACACAAGACCAAGCAGCAACACAGTGCCAGAGCAGGTGGTTAATTTCATATCCTCCCTGATTAAATTGCAAATGTTTCAGGAATTAAAATATAAAAATATATCTGAGAAAGAATACTCTGACTTGAACAAACATGAAAATAAATTTTAAATATACAAATGAAAATTCATATTCTCTTACACTTTATATTTCACCAAGTGGAGCAATTTACATAAGCATATTTTTGAAGTACATATAGTTAACCTGAACCTAATGTATGTATTTTTCACATGGGTCCCTTGTGTTCAATGATGTCAGCTCTACAATATGGCAAAAATTCTGGATCCCATAAGAGATGGCTATTAGACACAATTGTAGTTCGTAGATTCTATGTGACTTAGTTCTCCCTGACACTTGAGAAAGAAGGAATGGGGAAAGTTTGAACAAAACACTAACAGCAAATCATGTTTTAAAATGTGGATTTCTACTTTAAGGACCAAAATATATGCCTAGCAAGACATCGTCAATGTCTGTTAAGTAGCTATTCTTAAAGTCTAAAAATTCAGATAACAAATAAGCTGTTGTTTAGTTTTTTTCTTAGAGTGCTTCCCAACAGTTTTATACATTTAATTGGTCTACTAAAGTAATTGGTAGAAAATGATGACATAGCATTCTCTAAATTTTTGCCAAGAGTGAAGATTCAAATACATATCCTGTGATAGGTCCTCCAATTGTTAACTTAGTTGATACTTTGTGATTTTTATGTTAAAATGAAACAGAATCTAAAGGGCTTCATAATTCTTATATATTATATAAAACAACATCAGGACTACAATTTAATTTTATGTTGAGTACTTTTCAGATAGAAGGCAAGAAGTTCATACATAAATTTTAAGCTATTTTAAGTTTCTAATGAAGAATTTAGTTAAGTCCCATAGTTGTGTATTTATCTACTTTATGTCAGGAATTCTGTTAGATTCTGGAGATAAAGGCATGAGGAAGACAACATCTGTACAAAGCTACTGACTCTGGGGAACAATAATTCAGAAAAGCAAATGAAAACAATTCAGTGTTTAGAGTATTAGAATACACCACACAAAAGCACTATTCTAAAATAATGTAAAGCATTAGTCTGAGACATACTGACTTCAGCAAATCCACATATAACTCAATTTCTGCTTTATGGGTAGGGTCTACCCCAAAACTGGAACCCATATAAATGAAATTCTTTTCTCAAATTGCTCTAGTTGTCTCAGCCTGGATGCCTGACAATCCTCAGATTGCAAACTTATTTTGAATAAATAAGTAAATAAATATGTTTTAAAACTTTGGAATGACTTGAATGATTAATTTATAATAAATATTATTTTAATCATAGATATTATAGGACTACATAAACTATTCAATTAGGTCAACCATTCTTGCATTAATGTATTTATGTACCATCATCAGAGAAAATTCAGAAAGCATTTGGTAAAGAAAAAAATCAGGATTTAGACAATGAACAAGATTTGAGTTTTATCTTCAATTTTATATTATGCCAATTTTACACATCGCGGAGAAATAAAAAGCATCCTCTCATGTCTGGGATTGATTTGACATACTATTACAAGCCAGTCTGATACAGCCAGGTGATTTTGATCTCCTATTGGACATAAACTCAAAAAATAGCAATTTCAGACAATATTACTCTGAGACCATAAGAAATAAACAAAGCCACTGGACAATTTTTTTTCTAAGCACAGATATAAACAAAGTCACTGTGCCACCCAAAAAATGCCTACTCATAGAATTGCCCCCACTTTTTGACAGCATCAGACCTCTAGAGAGAACCCTTGCTTCCTTAGAGTCTTCCCAAGATCATCCAAATAAAGTCCAAATCCTCTAGTAGATTCCTTCTAACACTCTCTTATTAAGACATCCCATAGTTCCTTGTAGTATGTATTTCTCTCTCCCTCTCTCTCTCTCTCTCTCTGCAACAAGTAATAAACCCAATATGCCTAATTGCAGATGTGTTCCCGGTGGTCTTTGGCAGTAGAACATTGGCATCATCAAGAGGAAAGGAACCTGCCATGCCTGTGAATTTTCCAGATAAGTAGGACTTATTATTTAGTCTCAGGGATTTTATGTATTTCAAGCATTCTTTTTTTTTTTTTTTTTTTTTTTTTTTCTTTTTCTTTTGAGACACAGTCTTGCTCTGTCACCCAGGCTGGAGTGCGATGGCGTGATCTCGGCTCACTGCAACCTCCACCTCCCCAGTTCAAGCAATTCTCCTGTCTCAGCCTGCCAAGTAGCTGGGATTACAGGCACCTGCCACCACACCCAGGTAATTTTTATATTTTTAGTACAGACAGGGTTTCACCATTTTGGTCAGTCTGGTCTTGAACTCCTGACCTCAGGTGATGCACCCTCCTCAGCCTCCCAAAGTGCTGGGATTACAGTCGTGAGCCACCACGCTTGGCCCATCGAGCATTCTTCAGCAAGGAACATTTTTCCAAATAAAAAATAAATTTATCAAACTTAAATGAATTAATGTAATGATGATGACTATGTGATTTAATACAATCATCATGTATATTAACAGTGCAGAAGACCAAGAGTGAGCAATGTTGCTTACTCTTGGAGTTCTGTGCCTTTACCCTAAGTCAGTCCTGCTCAAGGTGTGGTTGGCAGATAACTGCCATTTGCGAACTGTTAATGAGAGCACAAAAAATGAAAAACATGTATTTAGAAACTTTCATAACAATTTGAAAAATAATTATATATATATTCAGTCTATTAAAAATTAAAGCTTGTGTTTTTTCGTCTTTTCTATTCTAGTTTTCAGTAATTTGTTATTATTATTATTATTATATTTTACAAAATTATCCATCTGTGATGGCTTGGAAATTTAAAAATAAATTAGGAGAGATCTTTTACCACAGATAGTTTGAAAAGCACTGAGCACCGCCCTAAATGACTCCCCGAGAACTTTTTTCCCCTCCCTTTCTTCCTTCTTTCTATCCTTCCCTCCCTCTCTCTGTTCTCTCCCTCTTTACTTCCCTTTCTTCCTTTCTTTTTTGGCTTTTATAACCACTTTCCACAGTTCTTTCATCTCCCTCCCTTGCTGTCCAGCTTTGGGCTGTCATTTGTAGCTGGAACAATGCCTACTTTGAGAAGCCCACCTACAAAAGTGTTGTTAATCTACTGTTGGCTGAAAATTCAGTTAACAACACCAGCCTAGATTTTATGCAAATTTAAGTACATAAATTCTGAGTGTCTGACTAGGCTTTCTTTTATCACAGAAATGAGCTTTGAAGCATGGGCTCTATTTTGGCTGTTCAGGGACAGCTTTCTGGGTTTCATGTAGTTTTCAGTCATTTGGGGGATGGTTGACATTGCCATGAAAGGATCTCCCAATACGAAGTGTTACCTGGGTAATTTGACATGAATCATAGGATAATGCTCCTAATTTTAAGGAATTTATGTCTCAGTCTAATAATTCCTAGTAACCATTTACAATTACAGGACAACACAAAATGTCCCAAAATTAGGTAATGACTTTGGCTTACCAAAAAGTGTTAGAGAATGAGATTGCTAATCATACTAGAAAGTAAACTCTGTGTTTGCTAGTTTTCAGAGAACTATTTGTTCTTCAGAACAGATGAAACTATTTAATAAAAGGTCTACTTCATTGTAGCAGGGTTTAAATCTACATTCTCCAAGTAACTATTATTACTACCAGGTGACAACTCTGCTTAGAAAATTCAGCTTTGCTAGTGAGCAAAGGACAGAGTGGAAAACTCAATCCAGCATTCTGGCTCTGCTATCCAAAGAGCTAATTAAGTGTACCATTTGTCAAAGTCAATGGAAACCCTGTGTCTGGCTCACTTAAAAAGACATTAAAAAGAGAAATGGGGTCCAACAGCAGAGGAAAGGAAATTTCCTATTCTTAAGTGGAACCCATGCTCATATGGTGTGTATCCTAATGTATTGTAATATCCTATAGAACTTTCCGTGCAATTTTGGTAGCACTTTGAAAACAAATTAAGTAATTATGACTTTGTTCCAATGCATATAAGAATACTAAAAATCAAATATTTTACAGTGGCCAAAATATGTGCTATACACCTTTTAGCATTATCAAATGATAAGGGCAGTAGGAATAAATTCACAAATCCTCTGCTATAATATACTAAAACAATCATAAGGAAAGGAGAAGAGATTGATGCAAATGTAATTTTATATTTCCATTTCTATCACTTTTATATCTTTTTTCCTCTTTCCTTTCCCAGGTGAGAGAGATGGGTATTGAATGAGTAAATACTCAACTGAACTGGAAAGGCTGGCTGTACTGGATAAATTGGGCTGAAACTGGGAAACTTTAAGATATGCAGTCCAGCACTGAGTGCTGATTAGCCAAATCAGTAATTTTAGCAGCACTGTGGCTATGCTATCCTATATTTATATCTTTATATTATGAGATAAGAGGAGGAGAAAAAGAAGGGCAATAAACCTGATAGGCCAAACTCTGTTATAATCCCCTTACGGGATCACATGGATAGAGCTGAAATAGAATTTAGAAGAGGTTGAATCTCAGCTTTGTTCTACAAAGTGGAAAAAAGCACAGAGAGATTTAGTGACTTGTCCAACTCTAAGCTAATATGTTCCTTTCCTGTATTGACATTTTTGCCCCTTCTAATTCAGGCTGAGCTGTACAGCAGTAAGCTTCCATTTGCTTGCTGTGTGTGTGCACTAAGAGAGACAAAATGGATTCATTCTTAAAGAGCATCAGAATCAACATTGACAGTTGCCTACCTCATAACCGGACCATTCACGTTGCTAAGATTTCGTGGAATCTTATTTGTTTAAAGGAAAAACATTCCAAACACAACAGTAAGTCAACATACTTACATCCTTAGATGAAAATACTATAGTTCACTGTCTAGGGAAAAGTGAGGTCCTAAATACATATTTTCAATAATTATTTTTCATGTTTGCATGGCATTTAATACTTTTATAAAGCACATGCTTTTTTTTGCAATCTTTATAACAATGCTGTAAAAGAGTTCAGACAGATTGATGATGATGATGATGATGATGATGACTATGACAATAATGATGACTTTTTAAAGATATGCAAATGGGAGTTTGGTGAGATCGGTGGGCCTCTCCTAGATCACAGAACCAGTTCATAAGCAGGTCTGTTTTCTTCATGATCAGTGCTCCTTCTGTTGCTTGATATCTTTCATTATCTATTTACTGTTAAAACATTTTTTACACTTAAAAACAGATCCTTTCTCACGAGGCAATTTGTGCTCATTAGTAATTATAACCAGAAGGCTCAATTTACTTGGTAAATGTCACTTGTTACATAAATGGTGAACTAGTAATGTGCCAAAGAGAAAACACTTAGGCCCAGAAAGTATTTTCTCTTACAAATAGATGTGTTTGAATGTTTTTTCTTATATATTTAATTTATAGCCGATTTTAGAAAGGGCTCACAGGAAGCATGGGAAAATTATAAGGTAACACACAACATCATCTAAAAAGAGAATCTTCCTGACATTTCCTTAGGTGTTTCAACTTGTGTCATGTTAAATGTATTTTTCCTTTTTTAGAAGTTGTAAGAAAAACAAATTTTCTATTTATAGGCTATAAAATAATAAATATGTTTAACAAAAAATAAAAGAAGGTTTTGAAATGCTTGCTGGTCTTTTTTGGAAAATATGTGAGGAAAGAAAGGCATTATTAGCCCCAGAGATTAAAATTTGTCTTTTGAAGTGTATTAATCAATAAGGTATATGCACAATTATATGGCTCACTGTACTTGTGTTTACACAGTACTGCTTATTAAATACCAACAAATTATTTAATTAGGGCTTTTTTTAAAGATTACTAATATCTGAGTTAGAAATTAAGAGATTTATCATAATCTAAAGATTATTATCATTTGCCCATTTAAACTATTTTTTAAAGTTTTCAGTTGACTTTAATAGCATATTAAATGTGATTTATTTTTTATTTTATTTTTATTTATTTTTTGAGATGGAGTTTCACTCTTGTTGCCCAGGCTGGGGTGCAATGGCACAATCTCGGGTCACCACAACCTCCACCTCCTGGTTCAAGCGATTCTCCTGCCTCAGCCTCCTGAGTAGCTGGGATTACAGGCATGCACCACCACACCTGGCTAATTTTGTAGTTTTAGTAGAGACGGGGTTTCTGCATGTTGGTCAGGCTGGTCTCAAACTCCCGACCTAAGGTGATCCACCCGCTTTGGCCTCCCAAAATGCTGGGATTACAGACGTGAGCCACCACGCCTGGCCATTGAATGTTATTTCATATGAATTATGAAAGCATAAAAATTCTATGCCTGCTTTCATAAATAACTTGCTCTGTACACACTTTCCCTTTAATAAAAATATAATATCTTAAAATGTTAACTTACAAGTCAGTCTAAATTATGTTGTAATTTTTAGTTAAGTAGGTGAGATGGAACTTATGGAAGGTGTTATGGCATTACTCCATTTAAAGTAGTAGTGTTATATACAGATACCTCACTACTCATCCTATTAACTACTCTCCAGGAACTGTGCATATGGTTGCATGAAATTTGTGTCTTTGTTGTTCACCCCTCCTCCACAGCTAAATGCATCATTCCTCAATGCCTACTGTATTGACAAGCACCATTACTTAATCATAGTAATCATATCTGATGCATCATACAACAGGATATACTCACCATACTAGATTACCCACCATATCAGAATCTGTGTTCTCATGTCTTTTCTTATTTTCCACAGGGCTAAAAATTGATTCAGAATGGAGTTCTCTTTTACCTATAATTTCCGAGGCTTTCAGGATGAATTGCACATTTGAAAAGATGTTTGGATACTTGTGATATGATGCTCCAGAGAAAGAAAGTGCTATTGTAAGAAAAATCATCTGTGAGAAATATTTTATTAATATTTTGCATTGTGTTTCATTTGTCTTTTAGCTATTAAACTATAATTAAATTCAGTACTTAGATGCAGAAACTGCTGTAGTTTCCTATTTAAGATTTATAGTGTTATGTATGCCCCCTGGTGGTGTAATAGAACACTAGACGGTAAATAATTTATACGTAAGAGTTTATATATTTCAGAACAGCAATTTCATAATCATTGAATGCCCAATTAAATATGGTTACTGTTCAACAAAGCTTGGAAACTTCCAGATGAAAATAAATCAAGTTGTAATAGATGCTGCATTCATAATGGATACTTTGACATTGTAATTCTACAAAGGAATCAATGTCATTGATTCTAGACCTACATTCTCCAGTTTTATTCTTTCTCAAGATGTTATTATTTACAACAATATGTTGTAAATAATACAAACAAGATGTTATTATTTACAAGAACATGTTGTAAATAATATAAACAAGATGTTATTATTTACAACAATAAGGTAATTTAACACAACACCACGTTATATTTAACAGAATCATCTCAGTGCTGCTCTTTCTATAAACTTTTAGACAAACTTTGGGTTTTAGTCCATCCACATAATGGAAAAATTAATAATGACCATTCTACTGGACAGCTATGTGGAGAGAGAGCAGCTGCTGATAGCTTCAGGTAGAAAACAGCCTATTGTTAAAGGAAGAGCTGTAACCTAAGGCTCTATTATATTTGGTAAGAGGACAAAATTGGGGGATTTTATTATTATATATGAAAGACAGATTTTTTTGAGGGGGATATATCCTCAATAATAAGCTAATAAGAGAACTTGAGGGTTTTACTCAAATAATTTTTCAAAGTTGATTTGCCATAATCATCTGAATATTTGATAAGTCACTATGCTGAACACAGTGAGGAGTTAAGAAGGGGTCATATAATTTAATGAAGATATAAAAACAAGTGAAATGTTAGACAAGAATTCCTATTCTATCTGTCTACAGCCACATCTGATCAGGACTTACGCTAATGGAATTAATTGATCAGTCTCCATAACGCTTCTGCTATTACCTTCTGTTCCCTCCTCCATGACTTTTTTCATCAAATATTATTCCCTTTCTTTATCTTGAGTCTCTCCTTCCCTTATCCTACAACACACTAATATTTTGACTTTGTTTTATCCATCTAAACTATTGACATATTTACATATCAGCATAAATATTTATGGCTAAGCTTTTTTTGAAATAGTTAACAATTTTTGACTTATGCTTAAAATTTCCCTCACTATTTACCTCCAATCTGAATTCTGCTTCCACCTCTCCACTGGGTATGCTCCCAAGATCAGCAGTGATTTTCTGATTGTAGAAACTCATTATTTTTCAGACCTTCTACTATTTAATACTTCTATGGCAATATTGATCTTGAACTTCTCTCCTTAAACATAATCACTCCCTCTCACCTCCCTTATTTCTCTTTTCCTGGGCCCTGTTACATCAATAATCCATTAAATGTATGTTCCCCAAGATTTCATTCCTGGAATTAGTTTCTCCCTGCCCCTTGCCCGCAGCCACATTAACATGGATGACTGTCAATTCTATATCCCAGGCAGGCTTCACTTATTTCCCTAGTTCCAAACCTATGTTTTCAACTGCTTGCTGGGTATATATACCTGAGTGACCTTCAAATTCAATATGTCCAATATTTCTCCAAATTTTTCCTAGTTCAGAATATCATCTCAATTCTATTACTCAATATGCAAAACTTCAGCTCCTGCTTGAATTTCTCACTCTTATTTACATATAGCTTAGATTCAGTGGATCACCAGGTCCAGAACCTTACTAAAATATGAATCTAACTTTCCTGAAATTCAGGGAGGTACATACTATTACAAATAGGAAAACTGAGTCACAAAAAAGCTCATACACTTAAGTGGCAAAGTAAAAAGCAGAATACAGAATGAGGATTACCAGCATCTGGAGCAGGGAGTAGGTTGCAGGAATGGATGGGGAAAGGGGAGATATTAGGGTGCAAAGCTTCAGTTAGATAGAAGGAATAAGGTCTAGTGATCTATTTCACGACATGATAACTATAGTTAATAATAATGTACTGTACTTTTCAAAATTGCTGGGAAAAAAGTAGAGTCAGGTTCTAAATGTTCTCACCACAAAGAAATAACAAAAGTATGGGGGTTGGAGGGGCAGTGAGCTGAAAAAATGCAATCTGGCCCTGAAGCTGTGCTCTTCAACACTGCACCTATTATCTTATGAAAAATAAAATGCAGCTTACATTCTTTATAGTGACAGTCTGAGCTTCTCAAAATATAACATAAAACATTTATAAGTGTAAAAAATAAAAGATATTCTACCGTATAAATGTGGTTGAAGCCTAAGTAAATGTTGCTTAAAACTTTCTAGATGACCATGAAGGAAAAATATAAAAAGTCGTAAGAAGACCAAATAGCCAATCTGTCAAAAGAGAAAAGAAAAATGCAGTTTTATGTTACATCAATAAATGTTTAAAAACCATAAGAAAAATCAACCATTATTTTATTACATTTTCTTTTGAGAAAACAATTTTAAACTTGTTCAACATTATGTGGTTTTGAAATAACATTAAAACATTTATATCAAGATTGAAATGCTAGCTCAGCCAAAAAACTTTTATAAATCATCTCTATACTACATATAATGACCAACGCTAAATGCTATTTTGTTCTATGTCCTTTAGAACAGTGTTTTTCGAATTACAAGTTATACCCTTTAAGTGAGTCATGAAATCAATTGACAGGAGATTTTTAAATAAAATAAAAGGGAAGAAAAAACAAAACATAGTTTATTGTACAATTCCTTGTTTCAGTATATAAATGAATATATATTATGTTATCTGGATTGCAATGCAAAGGGTATTTCTTTCTATGCATACCAGTCAACAGTTTGAGGACCCTCACATTACATAGTGTTGAGAACTATCCTACTTCTGCATAACATGCTGAGCTAAGCTCCTTATTCCCTCAAGAAAAAAGACCTCTCACAGGGTCATTATTAAATAAGCAGTGCAAAACCTTACTTCTGTAAGATTAGTAAACATATAGTTTGTTTTACACAGACTACATAAAATGGAATGTCTGCAAAAATAATTTGCAACATTTTACAGAAAATTATAAAAAACACATTAACTATAGAAATAAATGGAATACAGTTTCTAAATTATGGAGAAGACCCAAATAACAGCAATAGCTGTCATTATCGTGTGTGTGTGTGTGTGTGTGTGTGTGTGTGTGTATGTATGTATGTATGTATCTCCAAATCCTCTTAACAGCAACGCAGGGTATCATGTAACAATATACATGTAAAAAGAAAATAAAATTAAAAAGATAAATCTAACGAAATCTCAGTGCGTCATCCAAGACTATAAAGTAAATAAGTAACATTACTGGAATTTGAACCCAGGAATGTATGTACTGCTCCAAAAGCCATGAGCTTTCTACTATGGCAGTGATTTCCACATTTTTTATTACAAACCTCTATCACTACTAATAAATTTTGAGAATGCATCATTAATATTTATAAATGTATTCATAAAGTATAAACATATACATTTGTAGACTTATGAAGTATATAAAAATAACATGTTTATAAGGCATGCCCAAGGGGTCTCTTCATACAAACAGCTTTGTTATAGTACTGTGTTTCTCTACGATGCTGAAGTTAAATGTGAAAAAAATATTTAAAAGAATAATGAAATACTCTAGATGACAGAATTAAAGGAAACTATTCTCATAGATATAGACAACGAATGAATAACTGATCAGAAGGGGGATAAGTTAATATTTTTCAAGGACTATAGATAAATACTGAAAGGAATATAATATTCAAAAATGTAACAGGGGACAAAATAGAAAATACATGACAAGCATGTCAGTATTAATAACATCTGTGTTTATACCTCAATTTGGTCATGGATTTTACCTGACCCAGAGACTATCTTTAGTTATAGCTATACTTGAAAATGATTTTAAAAGCTTTCATCTTAATATTCTTGAAGGTCAAATTTTTGACAAATCTACCTTTCCATATTGTATATTGGATTTTCTATGTATTGTTCTTCATGTATTATTTGTGTACATATTCTCTTTGTTGTCTGACAACTCAAGCTTTGCCTCCTACATTGAATTTTAGCTTGTCAGTTTCTCTTTCTGAGCTCTCCTACATTTCCTTCATTTGACCTTTACCTCCTCCTCCTCTCTTTCTATTTTCATCTCTTCTTCTCTTTTTTCTGACCCTTTTAGCTGGCTGTAAAATTAAAGGCTGGATAATATTTATCATGTGTTGTATTTTAATAGTTGTATGTTTTTGGTTCTTGCATAGAATCTTGACGATCACTGCATATATTTCTATGTAATACATATAAAACTGTTGTTGCTTTTATGTTATTCTCTATACTTCTGTAAACAGAATTCAATCATTAAGAATATTGTACACTTAGAGCTAGATAGAAAGGAAAGAATGTAAACAAAACTTAAAAGAAATAATATTTGTGGATCATATATTTCTAGATCTATTCAACCCTGAGCTACTTCTCGAAAGGAGAAACAAAACAATGCATATAGAGTGGGTGATGCCTCTATGATAATATCCTTTAATAAAGCATTCCATCAAAAAGAAAAGAACAAAAGGGAGATTTCCAATAGTCTTTCAGATATGTAATGAAAACCCTACAAAGGCAAGGAGGACAAGTAAAATGTTTTCTTGCCTGGGTTCAAAGTACTTATAGAGTATGCTTATTTCCAATAGATAGTTATACGAACTAGAATAATAAAAAGCAAGCTTTAAAAATATTAAATCTTGGGACTCCAGTTGAAGATAGCTGACTAGAGACACTGCATACTCACTCTCTCCAGAAAGAAGAGCCAAAATTATGAATCAATAATCACGCCTCAGATGGAACAACTAGGAGAGAACACTGGAGTACAATAGAGAAGTTACAGGAAATACTTGAGACACAGAAGGTGATATGGTTTGGCTCTGTGTTCCCACCCAAATCTCATCCCGAACTATAATCTCATGTGTCAGGGGAGGGGCCCAGTGAGAGGTGATTGGACCACGGGGGCGGACTTCTCTCTTGCAGTTCTTGTGACAGTGAGATCTGGTTGTATGAAAGTGTGTGGTGCTTCCCCTTTCACTCTCTCTCTCCTCTAACATGTGAAGATGTGCTTGCTTCTCCTTCACTTTCTGCCATGATTATAAGTTCCCTGAGGCCTCCCAGTCATGCTTCCTGTTAAGCCTGTGGAACTGTGAGAATATTAAACCTCTTTTCTTCATAAATTACCCAGTCCCAAGTACTTCTTTATAGCAGCGTGAGAATCAACTAATACAGAAGGGAAGCAAAATCGGCTGGGAACACATAGGGGCTTGCTATTTGGGGAAAGGGTATAAGAACTTCAGTGGTCTATGTCCCTACCATGGACTGCAACAACCTGAACCACGGCAGAGCTCCTTGACACACATACTTCCTGACACTAACATGGACAGTGAGCTAGAGACCCCCAAAGGACATTGTACCAGACAGAGAACTTTTGCTGGTTCACTCACACCCCTGAGACCTAAGCAACTACAGCAGGGTGCCATTGTGAGAGTACAGCCATCATGGGGTTACATCCTCCCTTTAGAAACATAGCCTTCATATCTCCATATCCCAGGAACCCCCACTGACATTCCCTAGTGCCTACCCAGTGGGCTACAGTGGCATAGCATTGCTGGAAACAAAGGTGCTACAGGGCCCCAGTACTGTGGCCCACAAGTAGTATTACTTCCCAGAAAAGACATGGTGCAGTGCATTAACATTGCAGTCTCTGGGACAAAGGAAACCAAGGCACGCACTTTCCAGAGCCTGAAAGCTTCCTGTCTGGGGCTATGAGAAGAAACCCTCCCTCACCAGTAGCACAAACTCTGTGTTCAGGCTTGCAAGCAGAGTGAGATCCATCACACTCCCCACCTAACACTGCAGCAGCAGTTGCTGCCGCTGGGAATCCAAATGAGAGCCAGCTATCTGGGGCTGAGGGCAGTGACCCCACTTCCACTGGTGGAGTGGCCTCTGTGTTCAGGTTCATGCACAGGGATTCTCTCTCCCACTCTGCATACCTCTGCAGGCTCAGTCACCACTGCTGCCACTGGAGGCTAGGGCAGGTGAACCGGATGGCTCCTTGAGTGGGCCTGGATAGTGACCACACTCCTACTGGTTGAATGATTTCCATGATCAAGCTCATGTGCAAAGGGCAGGGCTGCTTACCTTTATGTGCACCACTGCAGTGCTGCTACAACTGAGAACAGGCAAGCCTGAGAGCTGCATGACTGGGGCTGCAGGTGGAGACTGCACTGTAGCTATCTCCAACATCAGCATGCACTGCTCAGGACCTAGAAGGTTGTCCCACAACTGCTACTGCCACTACCTACACCACGCCACCTACCCAGGGAATCAAGAACTCACTCACCTGCCTGATCCACCAGTGTCACTACCATGATCTAAGTAAACTACCTAGAAGCCCAAGAATTGGCCTGCCTGGTCCTGCTAATACCAGAGCAAGTATCTTGTACACAGGGGCACAAGAACAGGCATACTCATCCCACTGCTGCCACCACTGGGGACCAAAGACTAACCCATCTGGAATCCCTGTCCCTGAGCAAAACTTCACCATGGCCTCTACTCTTAACCACACTCTAAACCACTGGGAAATCATAGATACCACTGATGCTGTTGACAGCCAAATAAATCATATAGGGACTGCACCACTGCATGCACTCAGAATCAAATACAAAGGGTCCTACTAACCAACACTATGACACATCTTCAGGAAAACATCCTCTACTGTGAAAGCAAATTCAAAAAATTGGAATAAGTGAATATTACACAAGATACACAGTTATCAATGTAAGGAAACATGAAAAACAGGGAAATATGACACTTCCAAAGGAACACAATAATTCCCCAGCAACATATCCCAATCAAAAAGAAATGTGTGAAATCACAGGGAAAAAAATCAAAATTATGACACTAAAGAAACACAGTGAGATACAAGAGAATTTCAAAAAATAATACAAAAGTCAGAAGAAAACAGTTCAAGATTTGAAGGAGAAATTTATGAGAGATACATATCATACAAAAGAACCAAACAAAATCTGGAATTGAAGAACTTCTTTAATTAAATAAAAAGTACAATCAAGAGTTTAAACAATAAACTAAAACAACAGCAATACAAAAGAATCTCAGAACCTGAAGACATAACTTTTGATGTAACTCAGAGAAAAATAAAGAAAAAATAATGAAAAAGAAAAAACAAAGCCTCTGTGATATATGTGACACAATACAGTGACCAAATACATGAATTATTGGTATCCCTAAAGGTAAAAAGTGAATGAAAGGCTTCAAAAACTTATTTAACAAAATTTAACTTGAAATCTTCCCAAGT